TATAACATCATCGACTGACAAACACTATTCACTCGACTCTGAAGATGACTTCCGCTCAGGTTGTCGAAACGTCAGTCAACAACAACAGTTCTTTTCAGAACTACACTCACCCTGACGATCACACCATACGAACTATAACAAAACACTCTTGATAAAAAGGTTATCTATCATAATGATCATCAGAAGTTAGCTCTATAAACTTCTCTGATCATTTATTGCTATAAATTAAAGGGTCTGAGAAATTTCGTCCAGTTAATCAAAGAACCCTTCAACGACGCCTAAAATATGGAAGTAGATCTACTCTAAAAGCTAAGCAAGCTTAGTCAGACACACTGCTAGATTTTGCTCTTCTCTTTCTGAACAAAAGAAATCACCTTGAAATTCATCTCCGACCAGCGTGTCGATTTGTGAAGCGGTGGTGGATCGTCGCTTTGTTTCCTCGGTCCATGTACAGTCTCTTAAGCGTAACTTCCGGCAGTAAATCGAGGCTGCTTCCGGTTCTAGAGCGATCAGAAGGCGGTCTGGGGCATCTTGTGTGGTTAGACCAGCCTGTAATGTGGATTAGATTAGAAAGGTTTAGATTTGATGCTGTGTTTTATCTCTATAATTTATCTCTATAATTTTTCCTTTGGTTAAGAGCTGGTCTGATGTCTCATTAAAAATTATTCCACTTACGCGCGTTGGATGTAAGATGGTAGACAGCCAACGAGGGGCGTAGCGCCGAGTTGACTATCTACCATCTCATATCCAACACGCGTAAGTGGAATAATTGTTTTATTAAAAACGCCCCCAAAATATAGAAAACTAAAATAAAATACAAATAAAAACGCGCAAAAAATTACGCGTACGCTTACTATATTTGCAGAGAATGGTATAATGGCTCATATACCACGATGGATAAGCCAGTGAAAACTCTTGAATTGCATTATCCAATGATCCAGTTTTTAATAATCAACTTTACCAATTCGTTTCTTGATTTATTATTGCCATTTATAAATATAAAAACAACACATCAATGTATGTTATAGGTAAGGAAGCCCAGGGATGCCAATAAGGCTTCTGTAAAGGACTACCTTAAATACTTAAGTCTTAACAAGAGAGTAAAAATGCTGTCATTGGCACACAAAATGATCTTAATTTAGGATAAAAAGGTAGTTAAGCGAAAGATTAACAAAGATTATGATAATGGATATGAATCAGTTGCGACACGAGGAAAATCAAGTTTACAATTTGCGACAAATGAATCTGGTTCATAAAATGGGAGAAAATTACATGGGGAGTCCCACCACAGAATGTGTGTTTTCAAGCAAGGCTATTTTTAGAATAGCCTGTTAGAATATTAAACGAAACTTCGCGAGAACTTAAAGGCAGTTTTGAGAGAGATTGGACAACACTTTTAACAACAATCTACGCGAATTTGGAGAATTTGTTTCAGTAGCATTTCCTTTTTTCACAGTATCAAATTCTCGACAGTGAAAACGTAATAACAAGAAAAGAAAAACAATCGAGAAGAAATTTCTAGTCGCAAATTTTCGTGCAAAATGTAGTTCATGTCAATCAAAGAAATTAATTTCCTTTTTCAATGAGGTACGTAGAACACATTGCCCAATTCATTAAGTTACCCGTGTCACTCAGGCTTCTCGTCATATTGTCAAGCACTGTGTTTTCTTTTTGTTGCTAGGGAAACAAGGGCATACTAAAGACCCAAGGCAGGTAGTCCAACATATGCTAATTAAAGTAAATATAAACGAGTTCCAGCATGTCAGCATAAATTGGATTTCCTTTTGTTTGCATTTAAATTAATTAAAATGGAACTTGCTGCTCGGACTAAGAGGTAATAGTAGAATCAATTGACTCATTTTGGCACACGAGGATAATGGCATTTGGTTCGATAAATCATGGTGAGAACTTTTGCCCTTCATCAAAGTTTAAACCTTGAAGAACGTAACTTCTTTTGAGGCATCAGTGATAGCGCTTGCGTCTCCGAGAGCACGAGAGAGCTGAATTGAGGCCGTAAGAAACTCAGCACAAAAACTGAAAACAGCAGATATCTAAACGTGAACGTTCAATGGGAATCAACCTCAGATTGGCGGAGAATAGTATTGGGTTACAATGCTCTCTCTTGCAATTTTTGTGACTGTGATTTTGGTTGTTGGGGTAACATTATTTCACCTTTACTTCGTTGGAAGTTTGTGTTGCGGCCTTCGGCAAAGACACAGGGCTCGAATGAACGCCTACATGGTGAAGTAGTAGCTCTGAGAGTCTGTGACTTCAGGAACAGTCAAGGAGGTGTACGAAGTTTCCATGTATTAAAACTAATTTATAACTCACAATTCAGTTCAATATTGCTCTGGACTGACACTCGTCAAGTGCAAGGGTTTAAAGATTTTGAAACCATTTGGAGCTACATTTTCTTGAAAACGAAAACATAACCGTGCCAGCTTTTTATTTAAAAACAGCGTAAGAACTGAACCATATGCTGTGAAAGATGATATTTAAGGATGGTAAGTAAAAACTCTACTCCTTTTCAGTGGTTACAGCTTTTGACATGACATGGTAAAAATAGCCAATAGGTCAAGTCCAACGAACCACCTCTCCCTGTTTATACTCGCCGAGTTTCATTAAAGTAACTCATCTTACCGGCGGAAGCTTTCAGGAAACGTGAACCCGGAGTCAGATGATAAATGCATCAGAATGCACGAATTATATAAAACGGGGGAACACATGAATATATATTTTTTTCAGTCCAGTAGCGAACGGTCTACAAATGGTGGGGTAATTAATTTTGTAACTTTAACCATAAGAAAGCAATATAAAAGGTCTTATATGTGAAACTTATTGGGTAATCACATTGAAAACGACGTCGCTGTGCAGTGGTAATTAATCAGCCTCGTTCCGTGGTAATTTTGAAAAATTCAAAATTTAATTTTCTCAGTTGCAGGTGGCAAAAGGGACCTTGGACAAAGGCCAACATTAAAAACACGAAATACGTGTAACAATTTCAATCAATTTGCAGAACGTGATGTAGTGCACTGCTATAGCTCAGCGAAAATATCCGACAAAAATAACTTTGACGTGTCCAAAGTGAATGAAACGCGCGCAAAGGAAAGCTCCGAGCCAGACAAGATGGTGGTAACAGCCGTTTTTCTTGGGGTAATCGTGGCTGGATTGAGTGTACTGGATATCTACTTACTAAAGCAATGTTTCGGTGAACAACAACGGCCAGATGATAATGAAGATGGACAAGTGTTTCCTGTAACTATGCCTTACTTCTTCCCGAGATAAACTGTTGGAACTTGCAGCTGCATTTAAGGGAAAAACTGTGGCCCTACAAAAGCTTTTAACGCAGATGAAAGGGGAGGAAAGCATGAAAATTCGAAGAATATATTTACTCTGATATACATAGTCGTTTATTTAAAACAGTTAAGTAACTTCATTCTTAATGGATGTATTCAAATGCTCATTGTTTTTCAATGTTGTGGGTTCTGCCACATTCATGTTTTCTTTTAAGGAAAGTTGATTCTGTGCACCCTGATATAAATTGTAACATAAAAGATTATCACATTGTCTTAAATTCGCAATAGGTTGTGTAGCACAAAGGTGTTTTACATGTAATCTATGTGGCCAGCTTTGATGTATTTAAACTAGGTTAGAAAACACCAGAGTAAGCTGTATATTGTAGTATATAGGTTTTTCTGATTTTTCCGTTGTGCGTTCATTTAAATGCAGAATAAGCTTTCCAATATTCTTCAGTGATAATGGAAGTCGCTCTTTTCACAATTTTTGCTGACGAGTAGCAAAAATACTGCCTTCCATTCGGCTTCTGGCCAAACACCAAACACTTAACCGTGAGCATGCGTCTTTCGCCAAAAGAAAACATGTTGATTAAATTCGCGCTTGTTTACAGTTGATACTATGAACAGACGCACACTTTCAACAAATGAACCTTAAAACTGACACAATAATACACAGAAGAGTTTCACTCGGAGAGAATTTGTTCAGCTTAATTTGAAACGACATGGTGGTGGTAGAGCTGGTAGTGGTTGGAACCTTCACAGCACTGACATTGCTTGATGTGTACATGCTGAAGAAACTCTGCGAGGGAAAAGTATACCGTGTCCATGTTAATTCCAAGTATCACTTGGCTGGTGACGGCTCGTACTTGCTATAATATCAAGGACTGAGATTTTAGATGGAAACGTTGCCCGGATTTAACTCCCCGTGTTTTCAATATTTATCTTGCATCAAACATATTCAATTTTTCAGGGATTCGTGTGCGTAGTAAGTGTACTTGGCTATCCAACACAAGATATTTCATCGTGGGAAAACAATACGAAAACTTCATCTCCATAAGGCATCTCCAAAACGGTAAAAACGTCTGAATGTGATGACAACAACAGTATGTGTAACATGGCCGCTGAAGGAGGGTCCAAACTGCAGACATGCTAATATCTGTTCACTGAAAACAGTAACCTGAAAGATTAAAGAACCTCTTCTGATCATGGGAAAGTATAAAGTAGCCATTTTTGTACGTTGTTGCTATTCTAAGGTACGTTTTCGTTTTCGCCGTGGATCGTTAAGAAAAGCATTGCCATATTTAAATCGATCACGGCTAGACTTTCCGGTCATAACGAACGCACGATAGTAGGAAAAAATGTTAAAGCTGAAAGTAAGACTACTAGAAACAAGGTATTAGAGCTTTTCGCTTTTGTGCGCAAGATAACGAATCATTTTCTTCATGATTTCTTTATATCTCCTACGTCTTTGTCAACATATAATGAAGGTTTGGATTTAGGGGAAACAGGTTGCAATATATTACATATTTTGGGTATTTCTGTGCATTTAACATAAACACTCTGCTGTTTTTCCACTCGCTATTCATAAAATATTGTCAATATCATATTTTCTTGTTAGTGTGAAAATATTTTAAAATACGTAAACAAGGTTTAATAAAAGGTCGAAATTAAAATTTGCTGCTGTTATACCGTGTAAACATTATCTTGCGGTTTCGTGGATGACAAATACAGGCACGTTGGTTGAGCTTTAATATATTTCATTCAATCCACAAGCTCATATATTTTTAGTCTTCCTCCAGTGGGTTTGTTGCCAGTAAGTTATAAGCATTGTGAAAAATATAGAATTGGAGAAAGTTGCTGACATTGGGGGAGAGCAAGTCACATGACTATCGGCTAAATGAAACTTTTGTGCTGCTCAAGGCAGATTCACTACATACCAACATCAATATTTAATACTATTTGTTAAGAAACAGGTAGCGAAAAAAAAAACATTAGTGAGTGATGATGAAATAGCGCTGGCATGTTTTGTGAAGTTTACCACGCACCAACGTAAATATTGTGCATATACATACACAAGATAAGGTGGAAATGGGCGCTTCCCATTCGACCAAAAATTCCAGTTTGAACTATTTCTGAAAGTTCCAGCGGCGAATGGAACAGCATTTCCCTGAATTTACAGAAAGAGGATAACCTCGGGCGCTTTTCATTCGATAAAAAAATTCCCCCTTGAATTTCTGGAAATTTTCAGTGATG